TTGGTGTGAGATCTCAAACTTGGTAACAATAAGTGTATTTGTCTTGTGAGACAATAGGCAATATTGACCTGGGTCATGTCTGAAAAAAGTGCAATTGCTGCATTTTAGGCAGACGTGGAAGATTTCATGATTGTGCCTTAAGTTGAGGTGTGCTGTGGACAGCTGCTAATCCTGATAGCTACCCGATGTAGCTGTGTTTAATGTTTGGGAACCCTGAAAACTGGCAAAGGTTCTTATTCAAAGATAATAAAGCATAACAAAAAGGTTATTGACACAGTTGAATTATTGTTTTCAGTGCATGTGTTTGCCCAGTAGACTGTAATGGATTTGAAGTAGTTGTTCTGGTACACTGGGTAAATTCTCAGTTGGTTTTGGTATGCCGAGTCGTTGTGAAAGCACTTATTTCTCAATGCCACACAGCTGCTCTTGAAGTGTCAAGAACTGGCCTGTCAAGTATTGGCCTGTCGTTTGACCGCACTGACACAATTGTGCTGTAAGACATGGTTTTTATGATCGTGTGCTAATTGGCTGAGGCAGCAGTGTCTCATAAAGAACCCCTTTCATTTCAATACCTGGAGAAATACTTTCTCTATACTATCTAGAGTTAATACCATAAAGGGTTCTTCCCTATTTTTTTTTTCTAGGAATAAAAGAAAAGACTCATCTGTATTGGATAAATGTGAGTTAAGTTTCAGCTTGCTGCAAACTTTCTTGTCAGGTCCAAGCCACTTGAAATGGTTTTGTAATGGCGATGTTGAAACACAATGGGTGGTGGAAAAGTTTCTGTTTATTATTAATTGACTTGGTATGTAATTTTTTTCCCTTTAAAATTCCAGTTATTCAAGGCTGTAGTCTTGACTGCTACCTGGTCTGCTTGCTTTCTGGTGAGTGCAGTTGGGACGAACTGGTCCGTACATGAGAGCATGTATTGGTGTTTGGAAAACGGTTAGCTGCAGCTGAGTGTCTCCTGAATTTTTGAGATGTCTTGGCTTTTTTAACCTCCTCCTCTCTGCAGTTTGGAGCAGAACTTGTCTGACAGAACAAAAACGAAACAAAAGTGTGTGCATGCATAGTTTTCCCAAAAGGTATAAGTAGTTGGGAAGAAGGGTTGTACACTCAGCAGCTTGGCAGATGCGGCTGAAAGTTGATATAATCCAGCTATAGGCAGAGCAGCAGAGTCTTTGTTTTGTTTCGCTTTGTTGTTCAGAAGAGAGGTTAAGATCAGCTCTCTGTAGTCTCAATACTTGTGAAAAAAAAAATAAAAAATGAAATATTAGCGAAGTAATTTGTGAGATTTTTGTCTTGCAGTGTGTGGTACTGCGGGCTGAGCAGAGGGGAGCTGTAAACACTGAAGACAGCTTATCAACAGTGTTAAAACTCCCAAACTCTCCTCTGCTGGCTGGCAGAGCTGTGATTTCTGGCTGAAGCCTGAGATGTGTTGTATTGCCACAGTGAGCTGCCGTCTGTGCACGGGCTGTTGTGAGACCTGTGTATTCACTGGCTGAAAACAGACCCCTCGTGGGGTTTTGGCCACACGGGGTCTTGAGGGCATTCTGATGTTGTCTCCTTGCAAGATGAGAAGAGCAAAATCCCCGTCTGTAGGACTTCATAGAATCCAAGCAGAGGAAGGGGGGCAGGATAAACTGGTATCTGCATCTCCCAGCTCCCTTTTTTATTGGGCAGATGGGGAAGAGGTGGCCCAAAACACGTGCAGCTGCTTCTGCGAGTACTCGAATAAAGAATTTTGAATTCCTGAAGCTGAGGTGTGAACAGGAAAAGACTTATTTTTGTCCTCAGCGCCCTTCTCATCTGGGAGCTGCTGATCTCAAGCTTCTTTCTTCTGAGGCTCTCAGAAGTGCTTGGTATCGTTGCAATCACACTTCCCCCCCTCTGTTTTTGATTCCTAACCTCTCACATGGGGGAAAAATGGCTTTTGCTCATACCCCTTAGCTTCTTGGATCAGAGAGGTCTTCATTGCTGCAGAGTCTGGGAAGAGCCTTCCTCTAGGCACTGCCTGTTAATCTGCCAGCATGGAAAATCAACCTACAGTGGCCAACTGTAAACCGTAGATGAACTCTTGGCTCTGTGGCAGAAACCACTGTGGGTTATGAGGCCTTGCTAAATGTACTGAAGGTTGTGAAATAAACAGGTTTGACAGCCGCTCACACCAAACTGGGCCATTCTTGTCTCAGTTCAAGAACTCTATGCAAGAACACAAAACTGTCTGACCCAAGCTAAGCCAGAAGCCTGCGAGTATTTCTAGAAGCATCTTTGATGTAAAAATCGAGATGTCTTTCTGTAAGCTTTCTCAAGCGTGTGGTTTTTTCTCCCATTTTTTAAAATATCCCTTCACCATAAATCAAGAGTCATTCCATTTCTGTAAGTAATTTTCCCTCTGACATCAGAATTGAGAAACAAGTGAAAACACATCTTTTTTTGCTGACTCTTTCATTTCAATTTGTTTGTGGTTCAGACCGTGGCTATACGTCGAAGGCTGTATTATTACTTTTTAATCTAAACTGTTTTTTCCATAGTAAGGAGAATAATTTGTTTTATGTATTACTTTAAATAACAGAAACATATTGGTTATAAAAGCTGAAGATGGGCTTAGAGATTCTAAATATTTGATACTGTTTGATATCTACTGAAAACAGTCTTTGTAAAGAAGGGTACTACCTCATGCTGTAATATTCCTGGTCAACAGCAAAAACCATAAGGATTTTCTTTTTCCCCCCTGAACTGATTGATGGCTGCATATCTGAAGTCTGGCAAATGTTTGATATGCTCAGCAGAATCTGCAATTTTTAAATAAATAATATCTTGTACTCCTGCCTGTGGAAAGAGCTCTTGCTTTATCCTGTCTTGTTTTCTCACTCCCTTGCCAGCCAGACTAGAAATGTAAGCAGCACCGTCAAGCTGTGCTAGCGTTGTGAGCTGTTTTCATCCGTTCAGTGTCCCAGAGATTGGATTCCTTCGCCCCTCCATGAACTGAACGTGTGGGGGATGCCCAAATCTTGTACCTGCTGAAGACGCTTTACCTAAAAGGAACGCTCGGTTCCAGTAATTGAGTATTTGTTTATCTCTGAGTTTTCTGGAGAGGAACCTCTGCTTGTTTCCTGCGTTTTCAGTACGATCCTGATCCTGAAGTCCTTGAAGGCTGACGTGCAGGCGTGTGGTGCTATTTGTGCATTGATGGTGCCAAGCCAACCAGATGCTTTACTTGCTTTCCTCAAAATGTGGCATCGTTCTGGACTGCTAGGACTGAGCCATCTGTTTAATATTTGATGGGGATAAAAAGGAAGAACAAGGCAGATGAAACCAGTGTCTGCAGAAATGAGTGCACTGATGGTTGTTATCCTGGTGTGGATGACCAGGAGGCTGTTGCTTGTGGAGCTGCGGTTGCTTTTGTTGGTGGCATTGCTGACAGTTTTCCTGTCATCCACTCACTGTAGCTCCCTGGGCATTTTCTATCGATGTCTTAATGCAGATCACCTATTTTCGGGCTACAAACTTAAATCCAAAAGGTAATGAAACATTTTACAACCTCAGCGTGAGGAGGAGAAGCAGCAACATCTCACCCTGAGTGTTTGTTTAGACCTCATGTGAAGCTGTTATTTCCTGACGTACTCAGTGTTGAACAAACGTATAGGTCTGATTTTTAAACACGAACATTTGTCATTGTTAGTTTATATATGCAGCTTGTGTGCATTTCAGGCCTGGTGTGCTAAAAGGTTTGATCTTTCCCTTCCCGGATAAATTTTGTTTAAATGTGCTTGGTTTTCTAACTGGAGGGATTCTAGGGCAGGAAAATGTCCAAGTAAATTCAAGGTCTGCTCTGTAATGTTGGCAGCTGCTGTGCAAGATGCGTTTTGAAACTGCAACTCTACTTGTGTTAACAAAAAAATAACGCTCTATTTTTTTTTTAATTGTAAGATACAATTCCATTGTTTTGCACTTTCTAATCTTGAAAACAGAAGCTGGATAAAACTGGTCGGCTCTACCCAGCTCTGCCTCTGGGAGTACTGGAACCAGTTTAGTTGGGGGTAGGTCAGCGGGGTGCAAGGTTTTTTGTTAACCATCCATCGCAACCATGTCGGTATTGTTTCTCTTGCCTTGTTTTAGCTCTTGTGCTGGGTTTGTGAAGGTACAATGCAGCTTGGCCCTCGATGTACACCGCTTTTGGCTCCAGTATAGCAAAGCCATAAATAGCCCCTTGCCCCCAGCAGTAGGAAGTGACTGCAGCAGGTGGTGTCCTCTGCTAGAAATCTGCTCATAATTAGTACCCAAGTGATTCTTATAAAATTGGTTTTCTTGTCGTGTGTTCTTCCTTTATTAAATGCCAGCTGACTGGCGACTGCATTATTAAAATCTGAAATCATCATTAAGATAAAAGAAATACTACCAGAAAGGTATTTTTGTTTATTTCTGTGCAACCTCTGTGTGAAGTGTATTTCATGTGCCATTTAAATACTAATAGACAGAGTTTAGCTCAGATTTGTTACAGTAGTTCTCCACGGCAGTACCAGTAGGAGGAAGTACGTGGTAGTACTGGAAAGCCCTGGGCAGCGTTTGTATCCCTGCCTGTGCTGAACAGCACCTTGCACTGCGAATGGCATCGAGAAAATAAACGGGGCTTTTTGTGCAGCAAGGTAGTGCTCCGAGTGAGGAAGGACACTGCAGTCTGGTGTCGATAAACAAGCTTCTCCTTGCCACAGAACCTATCATTGTGCTTGGATTAACTTTCAGTCTCGGCAAAGAGGCCGAGTTGTTTGGGCAAGGGAGAATAAATGCATTAGTGCTGTTGCGATTGCTTCCTTGCAGCCGTGGTGGAGAGCCCTCGCCTCCTTGCCGTTGCTGGGTGCTGAATAAACAGTGAAAGCAAGGGGAGAGGGACTGCGTATTTATAGTGTGTGTGTAAACAGCAAAAAATGGGGGCAGTCCTGTGTTTCGGTTACTGTTTAACGTGTGTCTGCCTTTATACCCCTGCCTTTCTCCCACAGATGTGAGAGCTGCGTGGAACTGCTGTTTGTGAGAGGGGCTGGGAACTGCCATGAGTGCGATGCCCCCCTGCGCAAGAGTAACTTCAGGGTGCAGCTCTTTGAGGATCCTGCTGTCGACAAGGAAGTGGAAATTCGAAAGAAAGTGCTGAAAATGTGAGTTTCGCCAGCTAAAAGAACAGGAAGTAGATGTATTGCATGGATCACCATTTAAAAAAAAACAACAATTACTTACTCCTCCAGTAATACAAAGGAGGTTTTTATTAAAGTGGCAGCTCCTAAAGCTTGACTCCATTTAATGTGCAGGGATTTTGGAGAATCAGACTTTATGCAACAACTGAGGACAGAAGTCTTAACTTAGCCTTGAGGGATTCCTGCTTAGCATTAGAAAATGCTGGGTGTTTCTGTGTGGCCTCCTAAATGGAGATGGTTGGATATTGAGGACTGCAGCTGCTTTCCCTTTGAGGGGGTGACCATGGGAGTGGGGCAAGAAACAGGACCTTGATTGATTTGTTCCCTGGGGACCTCTTGAGAGTTGAAGGCCAGTTCCCTTCAAAATGAAAATGGACAAAAGAGAAGCTCTGTTCATATCGCTTTCCACTTCACACAGTAATTCTTAGAGGAAATGCTTCCTTGCAAGCCATGTTACAGCTAGTTTCTAGTCTGTTATGCAGATTTGAGAGCTCTTGGAATTTAGATAAGTGAGGTCTAAAATTGCATCTTGCTCCTTGTAGCCACAAAACAACATTTTGTAAGGAAAATAAGTGAGCCGGTTGATGTTTTGGTAGAAGAGGGTCCGCTGGAACTTGACAGACCTGGACAGAGTTGTGTGTGCAGAGATGAACGTACAGGGAAATTGTAAGCTTGGCAGCTTTATCTAAGACTTAGTGCGTTGGTAAATGAATCGTATGATGTTGCTGAGTTGTGGGGAGGTTTCACTGTTGAATACTAAGGTGCTGATCTGGAAAGTAGTGATGATTTTTGATGTTTGACCATAAAGTCTACTGAAGTTCACAAAGTCAAACTGGAATGAAGTCAAGCTAGTTGACTAAACGTGGAGTGAAGTGTGGTTAGAACAGAAAACTTCGTAAAATGCTTGGCCTACTTGGATTTGTCAGTGAGTTTTCAGTGGACAGGTAATATGTCCCCAAACTGGAGTTTGGCCTGAGTTCTCGGATTAGGTGTTTATGCTCCTGGTCCACAGAGCAGGCAGATTCTCATCTTCGTATTTTCTCGGGAAGAAAGCCTGTGTGTTGTGACTTTTAGAGGCTGTCCATGTCCTAGCCGGTTGTCCCTTCATCTTTTTGACTTTTTCCAGCTATCAAGAGTTGGATAGATGAGTTCTGAAGTGGTTATTGATATGAAATAAGAAATAACTCTGTTACCATTTCCAGTTTGCTGCTGACGTATGTTTTCTGTTGTCGGCACGAAGCCAAACTTCCTTTCCTGATACTTCCAGAAAAGCTTTTCTTGTGGTGTTGCTGTTATCTCTGCCCCTAACAGGTTTCTCATGCTGAAGGGCTGTCTTGGAATGAGTACATCCTAGCCTCTGTACTCCTGTCCACCTGCAACCATGGAAAGGGAATTGGCAAGCCATAGGCAAAGACAGCCCTGTTTTATGCTGGGCTGGCTCATTCTCTTTGAAACCATCACTTCTGTCTCCTCTTAAAGATTCTGTGTGTTGGTCAGCTGTGGGAGGGAGCCACAAAGCACGTGGTTGGTAAAACTACACTTAATACGCTTGCAGCAATAGCCTTGTTGAATTGAAGCTGCATGTACGTGTGTTATTTAAATCCTTGTTTCTCTTCTCTCACAGATACAATAAAAGAGAGGAGGACTTTCCCAGTCTAAGTGAATATAATGATTTCCTGGAAGAAGTAGAAGAAATTGGTAAGTCTTAATGCTTGCGTTTTTGATGTGCTGTGCTCATGAGACCATAGGCTTTTATCTTCTGACTCAACTGCCTATGAGAATGTCTAAGTTGAGTTTCTGTAATAGGATTTATCATGGTATCAAATGTTTATTTAATTACTTTCTTTCTGTACATTTTTAATCGTATTTGCTGAACTGTAGGACATGGTTAAGTAAAACATTTTATCTGCCAGAGAAAAAAACATGATTCGAAGAGGAAGCAGTGCTTCATAGCTGGAAAAGAAAGGCTTGCAAGGGACTGTCGGTGCTGCACCGGGGAAGATTAAACAAAGAGAGGAGAAACTGAAATTTTCACTATATGCCCCCATTAGCTTTATCTACCATGACAGAAGCCATATGGTGTCTTTCATCATTTTTGCTTCTGCAAGTACAGTAGTTGAAGCTGCTTTGAAGCTGCTGACCTTACATACCACTGTGGTAGCATTTTATGTTGCTGTGCAGAAGGAGAAGGTTTAGGAACAGACATTGATTTCTTTCTCTTTGGACTACTTGAAGCAGAACTTTGCCCTTTGGGGAAGGGACTCCGTTATCAACAGAGTTTATTTTCTTCCTAGTTAGGGTGACTTGTGATTTATGGTGGAGTGATAGATTTTGCTTAGAAAAACAAGGATGTGTTCAAAGGAATGACTCCTAAATGGTTTGTTTCTTGGGTTTTACAAGCTTCTGAGGCTTTCCGTTTTTTGTCCTGGAGGAAGAAGAGGTGGCTTAAAACATGCAGGAGGGGCAGTGAATGTGATTTGAAGGAAGACATGGAGATACCGCTCCCCTTTCATTTCTCAAAGGAGCCCTTGCTCCTCTTTGCACTGTGGTGTTTTGTAGAAATTTCTCCACTACGCTTACTGCTGTGAGTAATGTGTCATGTTTTTGTTGGCATCCGAGGGCTGAGGCTGGAGTGCCAAATCTGTGGCTGGGAAATACCAGGCACCCTCATATGGGCCCAAATACATGGAGGAGACGATGTGGGTGTAGTTCTGTTTGTGTATGTTTTTGGATGGTGCTGGGGAAGGAGGGAATGAGTAGAAAGAATGGTTGCATCTTAGCCAGAGGATCACGGAAGAATCTGTGTGCTCACGGAAGGGAAAACTGCTTTTTATTTATGTAGCATTAAATAAAGATTTCCCGTTTACTGCTGTGGCAGGGGTTTTCAGCATCTGCAACGAGGGAGTTGAAGTTTTGCCTGAAATTGTCTTAACCTCGTCAGTTTGTGCAGAATGTTACGATTCTCCAGTTCTTGGGACTGAGTGGTTAAATTTCAAATGGTTCCGTTTGTGCTGGTGACTTGGTTCAGATGCAGCAGAAATCACGGCTGGGCTTTGTAATCTGGTGAAGAAGAGTGAATTTGTCAGTGATTGTGCTGGCTCTGCAAATGCATCGTGAAGAAGCTCAACAGAGTTAGGAACTGGAGTTAGTTGACTGAACGAGACACCTAAAATACTAAAAGGAGCAGGCAGTCCAACTACCTCCTAGTTTCTTCATGAGGGTGATGAGAGGAAAGAAGGGATGCAGTCAGAAGGCTCTTAATATGTCATTTATTAGCTCGGGCAGATCCAGAAGCTGGAGGACAGGTCAGATTCAAGAACAGCACCACGGGTGAGATTTCAGGCTCCGTTCTCCTCTCCCTGGTGACAAAGCTCATTGCACACATCTTGCTCTCCCTGAACCCTTCCCTGCCTGTGCTCCGGGGCAGAGTTCTCCCCTGGGCCGTTGGCTGGGCCGTGGCGATAGCGTGACTACTTCCAGTGGCTTTGCTGAGCACGTTGTGTGTCTTTGACTGTTGGATTACCTCGCAGTTTACTCCTGAGAGGAGTTACTTATTTGTTATTGTGTATGTGGATCCCCTGCTCATTTGTGCACATGAAATCTGGGCTGCAAGAAAAGACAGAAGAGGTGTAGTTACGCCGAGAAGTCTGGCCCTGTGGAGCCAGTGTTGGCAGTAGCTGGTCGTGGTTGTTCAAGCTATGGGGTTAGGAAGCTGGGAAGCAGAGAACTGGATTTCCCCTTTCTCTCCCCACCCCAAATTTGCAGTTTTTCTGTGGGAGGGTCCAAGTGCAGCTTCACCCTGTTTTCTTTTCCCTGATGAGTTTTGTTTTCTAAGTTGCTGTGGAGGATTAAATGAAATAGTTGCTTGGCAGAGACAAAATGGAAGCTCCCTGTATAAGTGTACTTCATGTGACCTTAGTGCAATTCTGGTAGTTCTTCCGAATGTTCCAGGCAGGTCAGCTCCAACATTTGCAGCAACTGAATTGTCTTATTCCATAGATGTGAGAGGTGACCTCGCTTGAAATACATTTTCCCTGTTCACATCGGGGTTGGTGCACCTACAGACTTTCTATTTAAAGAAAAGAGTTGGGTGGTACAGCAAAAGTGTGAGAGGGGAAGGTCAAACAAGTATTAGGGAATTCACCTCTTAAGATTTCTATTATAAAAACACATTTTTGAAGTGGTTTAGAATGTAGTCACTAAATAATGCTTTGGGCCAAAATGTGTTATACAAGGCTTTAAATAGAAACCACATTTTAAAGCAAGTTTTCCCCAGAAGAAAAGTCAGTTGGACAATTTGAGACCATTGTAAACACAGTTTGTTGTCATTAACACTAAGAAGAAAAATAAAGTGAGATGGTTAAAACCTGCCTTTGGGAAAGGTGTGGACAAAACCTATCAGAATAAGTCAAGTCTATGCCATTATGGTGAGAGGGGCAAGTTTAAACCTTAGAGTGATGCTGCAAGTTGAAATCTTTGGACATAACGCAAATTTTGCTTGCTCTTTCTGCAGGGTTTTCTTCTTCCCCTAAGCTTTTCCTCTTCCCCACAGTGTATCCGTAGCCAGTTTCTCAAAACTCGGTGTGTGAGCTCCCCAGAGCAGGGCCTGCGTCCTAGCGTGTGCGTACACTGCCTGGCACCGTGCTCCGAGACCTGAGCGAGGCCTCTGGGCATTACTGCAGCGCCATTGTTAGTAATTACTGCTTTTTAAAAACACTCGGTGCGTTCAGCCTGGAAGGAGGCTGCCGTATTTGTGCCTTTGGATTCTTGTATCTCGCTCCTCTAAGACTTCATGCGCTACCAGCTGCCTGGTGATTTGTCTTGCTCAGATTGTTTATCCAAGGATCCCTTCATGAGATGGAAAGCTTTTGGTATCTATGATCACTTGTGGGTTGTGCTGTTTGTTATTTTGCGGGGTTTTTTCCCTCTGTGTGTGTGCATGAGGATGGCATTGTTGGTACTGACAACGGGAACAACTCAACTGGAAATGGGGCAGCTTTATCGAAGATCCGTTTCAGTCATCTCATCTCAACAGAGATTTCAGTACCACGCCATTCCAGCCAAAACTATCTATCTTAGACCGATGGGTCTGAGTGATTTCAATCACTTATTACTACGCTAAGGTATTTTTGGGAAACGACTGACCCAATAAAAGGTAACTGAGTTTAAACAGGAATAATTATTAATACCTAACTAGACTTTTTTGGTTTAGCTGTGGGTATTCTTTTGTTCCTGATAATTATTTTGTTATAAACAGGTCCCTTCCAATCAACATTTCTGTGATAAGATTTCTTCCATCTTTTCTCTCCCTTGCCCCGCTCCTACTCCTCATAGAAGCACAGAGGCAGAGGTTGGCCCAAGCATGCAGAGCACCAACAGAAGGTGCTACAGCAGCTTTGGACTCCCCGGGCAGCTTGAAGATGTGGCTGTGTCTCCGGTCATAGCGCAGAACAGTTGCTCTTGTGCCATTCCCAGAGCTGGTGATTTAGGAAGATGATGGTCAAGGAGCTGCTTGTAGTAGGTTTGGAGGAACAGGTTTTATAACAAACTGGTACTTAGTAATTTAGAAATCTTCAGCTGGCTCACACCAGTCGCGCAGATCAGAGACTGTCAGCAGAGCCATCATCTGCTGTCTTGGCAGAGAGGGAATGTTCCTAATGTGTGAACAGCAGATATTTTTACATGGTAACATTATTGTTTCTTACGGAACTAGGAGTCTCAGAAAACTTGCAGTATCTCAGACTGAAACAGGGAGATTTTGCTGCACTTGAAGTCCTGCAGTGGAGGGACGTTCACTCACACTGCTGTGCCTCTGGAGAGGTGGTGCTGTACAGTTCAAATTCTTGTCTAGTGTTTTTTTTCCTAACTAGGAAAATAGTTTTCCATTTGTTGTAGAATTGCATAATGAATGTTGTTGTTTTGAAAAGCTGTGAAAGTCTCCCTGTAGAGGCTGAACTTCAGAAGTAGGGAGTTTTACCTAAACAGAACGAAATGTTTCAGGAAAAGACAATAGTCTTGCTGTTCTACTTCAACAGATGTCTCAGGGCAAGTCATTTTATAAACCAACCAATGTGAGATGGATAAGTAGATAAATAATTGTTGCATACAAAACAGCTTCTGTTTCTTTTCCCTGAAGGGTTTCAGGGCTCTTACATAGGCTTATGCTATATTTCAACATGGACCAAAAAAACCCCGCCTGGCTTCTCTTTGAAACCGTTTCAAACTGGCCATCTGCTTCGCCAGTCACATTCAGATCTATACCAATATTTTTTCAGGGTAGGTGTAGCTTGAGAGTTTAGGCTTTTTTAACTCTTTGTGGTTCTCCTAGTTTTATAACTGGTTTTGTTGTATATTTTAAAAAGAGAATGTTTGGAAGAATGGTATTTAAAATAAATTTCTGGCAAAACCAAAAGCAGACCAAACAAAAACCCAACCACCTTGCATAATCCTAGCTATGTGGAAGGTGAGATGTTGAGTATTAGTGATTGTGTTCTTTGATATGGTGCTTGATGGTTATGAAAAGCCAGGTAACTTGTGGAGGAGACGAGGGTGAAGAGAAAGAAACAATATTTTAACTGGTTTTTGTGGCCAAGTGCCTCTTTCAAAATGGACTTAGCTGTAATTGTGAGGTGATGGTAAGAATTTGTATTTTCTGAATATTGGTGAAAAGACATTTGAGGATCATGAAAAAAAACTAGAAACTATGTTGAAAGATGTTTTGGCTGGCTGGTTGGCCACTGACAACCGTGCAGTGTCAAAGAACATGGTTTGTTTTGCTGCTAGGAGTTTATTTTGGGATCGAAAATATTCTTTTCATTTATTAAAGGACAGGTATTGACACTGTCGAAATAGAGACATCCAGGTCCTAACACTGCTGCACCAAAATTTAGCTCTCCAGTATTTTAAGTCTTGAGATGTGAACAACTTAGCATGGAGGAGCAGATGCTTAGGACCAAGACAGTGTTCCTCTTCAATGACTGTGAATCAGTATTCAGTGGGAGGAGTCCACTCTGGTCTTTGAGGGTGCTGGAAGTACAGATCTTCCTGATTGCTGGGGTCCTGCCGTGTCCTCACACGGCAGAGTCGAGTAACACTGACAGCAGAATCGGCGTGGTGTGAGCAGATCTGCCTGCTGGGAGCGTTTTACCTGTGGCTGGGTTCTGGCCACAGCAGGAAAACAGATGGGGAAAAATGTTCCAGCTCGCTGCGAGCAGAGCAGTGGGCATTTAAGCTGGCTATGCAGGTGGATAACGGAAATTTTCTTAATCATTAATGCAGAAACACCCCTTACAGGGAAATGCAATTTCATATCAAGTAGTAAAATAAACCTGCTTCTTTAAGTAGTTCTAAATACAGGCAGGCATCCACATGTGTCTAAAATTTGCTTGCTTTCCCCAGTACGGGGTTTAAATATTACGGTTTTTGTTTTACAAACCTAGGTTGTAACGAGATGAGCCTATTACAGATAACCAAGAAAGGAGGGAAAAAAACCAACCCAAAACCTTGAACATTTCAAGCAGCAGTAGTTGCAAAACTCAGATCATCAGTTTATTGCTGGATTATTTTTAGAGAAGTACCCAAGATGTTCAGGAGCCTAAAGGCATTTGGCATCTCATCTTGCTCCTCCTCTTGCACCTGGAGGTGGCATCTGGGCATCCTGCTAGCACAGCGTGTCTCATGGGCTATTTCTTTCATGTGTCATCACTGAAGAGTCTGGAGAGCTGCTGTGTGGATTTAAGTTGTAGGAAGTGCTGAGATTCCCATGCAGCTGCTGTCATTGTAGAGCCCTGGTCTGATTCTGTGCCAGCGTTTTCACATGACAATTCTCTGCCCTACCACTCAATACTAAGCTGCTTGTCAGCTGGGAACTGTAGGCTGGAAAGTTGGAGGTCAAATCTGTATTAAAAGACTAAAAATTTAGATTAAAATAACGTGTTTTAGTAAGGAAATGCTGCTATGACTAGAAAGTGCACGTACGTTGCAATGTGAAATTGGAAAATGTTGTTATGCCTTTTGGAGTGAAAAAGACCCCAGCGTACAGTTGAAATGGGTTACCTGCCTCCAAAAATTAAGTGGCTGAACTTTGAATGGTTGGTTTGGGTTATAGCAGAGCCCAGAAGTTCCACCCGAGGTGAGTTCAAGGCTTATGGGTATAGGTGCTGTACACAGCTATGGTGTATGTATAGGAGAAAGGAAGCTTTATTCCCCTCCTCCTGGTTCTTACTGGTGGGAGACCTCGTGCAGAGGCCCAGGGACAGCAGCAAAGTTGGAAACGGAACTCGGGTGTTGATTCCCAGTCAAATGCTTAAACCACAAAACCAGCCTGCATCTCAGACGACTTCTGAAGTGAGGGTGGAAGATTTCAGCCGATTGACGAGCCAGGCTGAATTAAAATATCAGGCCCCCTGATAGTGCTCATTATTTGGAGAACTGGGGAGGAAGAAATAAATGCAGCATTTTGCTTGCTTGTTCAGGGCTAGGAATTTCTTCAGCTGTATCTTTCCTAGCCTTTTTTGTAGCAGTTCAAGGAAGATTGAATACTTTTGATAGAAGTAGGGTGATGTGGTAGTTCAGTACTCCTGGGAAGAGAGTATTTCTGTTCCCACAGTTGAACCAGTGACCTGGAGGTGAAAGGCTTAGGCGTTGTACCAAACCACTGACCATCCAAACCGGCTGCATCTTTCAAGCTGTTGATTATAGAAACTGTTCAGAATTTTTTGAGGTATCTTGTGTTTCACGTACAGACAATTGCAAATGTTGTGTTAAACTATGGAGCTCGCTGGGCGTCCCTGCCTGCTTGTAATTATGTGAGATAGTCTGTCACTACTGAGACATCAAAAGAATGTCATTTAACCTGTTAATCTGGGTGCATTTGCAGATCCCTCATAATAAAGGTAATTGTACATTGGTTGCCTTTTGAGTTATCAAGTAATGTGAATTTTTTTTGCGTACCTGACAGTTTGAACAGTCTCTGTAGTCCGCGCATTAAATAATCTTACGAAGTGGAATGCCTTCATTTCTAACCTTGTCTTAACGTGCATGTGTTCAGTCTGATTTAATTTTACAGGAATCGCTGTGTTCTTAGTTGTAACTGCTACCTGAAAAGGTCAGTGTTTCCCACATAATATTACGATTACTCGTGTACCATTATCAGTATCACAGAACAGGATGCAAGACTCAAGTCTTCATCTCCTGCAGATGTGTAAATCTAAAGGAATTCTGCTGGCTTCTGTTGAAGTTCGCAGTGATTTAGCAGAACGTGTCTTTCTTTTCAGGGCCTATTTAAATAAACTCTGTTACTGCAATGTTTATGTCTGGTGCTAGAAAGGATAGAAAACATAACAGTAGTATTTATTTGTCATAATCATGCGTGCTGATGTAATACTTTTGCTTTCTGTTTTTCTAATATTTATGCAGTATTTAACTTGACCAACAATGTGGATTTGGAGGACACCAAAAGGAAAATGGAGCTGTACCAGAAGGATAACAAAGAAGTCATTCAGAAAAACAAGATAAAACTGGTTAGTTAACTTCTCCTCTCCCCTACAAGTTTTATTCATTAGTTGAAGAATTAAAGGATTTTGGAAGTGTAGTACTTCGTGTAATGTCTTAAAAAGAAGTCAAAGCTGAAGGCACTATGCAGATTTCACTTTGTATTAAAAAACCTCATGTGCTAATGTTCTGCAACACTGATATTTAGTGCTGCGTAAAGAGATTAATTTGATAGTTGAAATGTGTAGTTACGCTTTATTTTGGGAAGGGCTTGAAAAGAGGGACAGGCATTAAAGTCTGCATCTAATACATCACCACTGCATGTGTGCTGGCAGCGCTGTTGGACAGTATCCAGGAGAGACAGAGTTCATTCTTATGCCGGGACAATCATTCCTTTCTCATCCGAAGGAGAAAAGGAATCTACCAGATGCAGACATTACGAAGGTCCCAGGAGAGTGCTGTAAAATTGAGGGAAAGCACAGGTCTGGTTTATGCAGAATTTAAAATGAAAGATGTTGAAACAAACAGTAGAAGTTTTGTTCAAGAGCTGATAACAATAACATCAGGAGTACTGTGTATATGATCTGTATGCAAAACACACGGTTCTTTGAAGAGTCATTCATTACAATATGGCTCAGATATAATACTGTTCTTGAAAAATAAACTTGCAAGCATTTCTTTCTGTAGGAAAAGTTTAATCTGTTAAACATTTTTTCAGTATAAAAATACACATTGTTATCGGTTCTTGAAGGAAAATGTCTGCCCAGAGTGTGACATGACAAGGTTTTGTGTTTGTGTTCCAGTTGCACTCAGGACTTGCTTTCAAAACAGTCGGGCTGAAATCCTCACTGCCCTGAAGTCTGTGGCAAAACTCCCAGTGATTTCTTTAGCTCTGGGATTTCACAGGAGGAGATTGGAATCTGAAAAATGTTTGTTTGAACCTCTTCCTTTTAAAGCAAGGAAATTTCCCTAGGGGTCCACCTCTGATCTGTTATCCTGTCTCTGATGCTGTGCTTCAGAGCTTGAAGAGACCTGCCAAATGTTTGGCTCCATGTCTTGCTTTACAACATAGGTACAGCCTTTGGGGACACCAAGGGAATAGCGTGGTTTGCCTGCAGCCCACCTTTCCTTCACGTATGTGACAGCCCGTGTGCTCACTGCGTGATCGCATCGAGCAGCACAGGAATGCTCTGCACTCACCCAGGCCCCCTGGGCCTTCTGTCTTCTGCATGTGATGGTCCTGTGGTGCTAGAGGCTGTCTGGTGAAAGCTGGGCAAGCCTGCGTGAGTCCAGACTTACTGGAGACCTGGAGAAGTTGTTTTTAATTTCTTTTTCAGCATTTGAAACATTCAACGTCTCTTTTTCAACAATTGAAACATCATAATGTACTTGATGCAGTTGCTATTAGAAAAACTACACGACCTTGCCCATAAATGTACCTCTCTCCCAGGAGCTGAAAGGGTGCTTTCTCTCTAGTTCTTTTTGGCAGGTTTTGGAATATCTTTACTCCATAAATGGTAAAAAGTGTCCTAATTTCTTGCCTGAACTTCTTCTGGCCGGTTGCTGTCCCTTCGTGCTTGGACTGACACAAGTTTTTCTGTCCCCTGTAATAGTTTGCTTCCGAGGAATGTAGATACTCTCTGTCCTTCCTGGCGTTTTTGTTACCCTGTGCCTCTTCCACTTCGAATTTGTTTGGCAAGAAGAAGGGACCAGAACCGAGTGCAGTATTGTAGTTGAGTTCTTAACAGCCTCTTATAAGAAAGAACACTCTTTTCCCATCTCTGCTGGAAATGTGTTGACGTGATCTCAAGACTGTTCTTCTCTTATGTCATATGGGAGGTTCAAAATCTGTAGTGGTCAAGTAGTGCATCATGGCTTTTCCTGTTTGATTTCAAGTGATGAATTAATGTCTCCAAATTCATGGTCTTATTTTGCTCTCACTTCTGCTGCTTTTGTCCTCGTGAGCATGTCATTCTCAGAAAATCAAAACATTAAGTTAGTGAACCAGTCACCTCAGGATTTGAATGTCCTTCTGTCAATACAGGCCATGGTTTTCATCACTGCAGTCAGTTCCCGATGACCTTGCTACTCGTGTCCTAATCCATATGTTAGATCTGTAGATTTGATGCAGGACCACGCACAGAAAAAGGTTAAGTAGACAGGTTTGG